ACTACTTTTCATAACATAGTTATAATGTGCTGTGGTAGATTTCTAAGTGTTATTTCTCTCTGTCAGGCCAATTTGATCATTAAAGAATGATTTCAATAACTGTTGTTGCTGTAGTCACAAAATCTCACAGTCATAGGATCTCTAGAGTATCATCTGGTTTTCTTTTTTTGTGGGGGGGAAGGAGGAAAGGGGTCATTACTGTCTAGAAAATTGATCTCATCTCAGCTGGCATTTTGGAAGCTTTTGTACATATGAGAGCAAAGGAAACTTGCATAGAGAAGTTTGTGCTATTCTCTTTCATTTTCCATGAGATCAATTCGGAATGTCAAATACTGTGCTAAGTAGGTAAAGGTTGCTGGTTCCATTCCTAGACTAGAGGAGATAAGAACTCTGGCCCATGACCACAAATGGCATAGGCTGTACAACGGGGAATCTAGCAAATATGCGCTATGGTCCCAAGGGATTCTATGAGAGTGCACAGATGTTCCTGGGTATGGTGTAGTAGTTAGAGTGCTGAGCTTGGAGTCAGGAAGTCTAGGGTTCAAATCCTACCTCTGAAATTTGCTAGCTGTGTAACAGTGTACATGTTAGTCAATCTTTATGATTTTAGTTTCCTCATCTGTAAAATGGGGCTAATAATGCCCGGAATACTTACCCCTTAGGACTGTGATGAGGTCCTAATGGGAAAATGTAAACCATTGCTGATATTTACATAAGGTGTCCCAAAAGTCCTAGTGCAATTTTAAGCTGTTATAGGAATTATAACTACTAATGATAAGATGCAAAAGTAAGAAAGTCTCTGACCTCAGAGAAAGCATTTCTACTGGGAGGATATAATATGTTTGCAGAAAAGTAAGTGAGAAATATATATGTATTTTGTGTACACATATGCACACATATCACATGTACTCACACAGGTATATTAGTATATAGACATATATATAAACATATGCATATCTTGCATTTATATATTATACATGACAACTGCATTTCATTTATATGTTATGTATATACATACACACATAAATGTATATATGTACGTACGTATGTATGGATGGATGGATGGATCCAGAGAAATTTGGAGAGGAAAGACTAAAAAACAGGTAGGAGAATCAGGAAAGGCCTTTTAAAGAAGGTGATACTTGAGGAGTTCTAAGAGTTTTCATGAAAGAAAATAGAGAATTCTAGGCATGGAAGTGTGAGATAGAATTTCCTATACAGTGAACAGCAAACAGACCAGACTAGAATCCAGTGCACATGAAGGGAAGTAATGCCTTATTACCCTGTAGAGATATGCTGGAGTAAGATTGTGAAAGACTTTAAATGCTAAACATTTTACATGATAAAATTGAGATGATAACTTTATTATATATTCAAAAGGAATAGCAAGTTGTACATAATAGATTTGCAGATTCATGTGCAATCATCTTTTTTATTATACTGTGTTATGGTATACTCATTTTATTCCATAAATTAAAATCAAATAAAATTTTAAAATGCTAAACAAAGGAATTTGGTTTTTATGCTAAAATCGGGAGCCAATAGAATATGTTAGTGGAGAAATTACATAGTTAGACCTGTCTTTTAGGAATATCAATTTTGTAACTGTGTGGAAGAAGTATTAGAGAGAGGAGAGATTGTATGCAGAGAGACCTATTAGGAGAGTATTTCAATCAATAATCAAGGTGAGAGGTGCCAGGTGCCTGAACTAGGGAGGCTGTGGTATGAGTGAAGAGAAAGAGGATGGATGCAAAACAAAACAAAATAAAACAAAAGGTTGTAAAGACAAGATTGAAAAATCTTGGCAGCTGATAGAATGAAAGGAATGGGGGAGAGGGAAAAGCTGAGGATGAATCTGAGGTTACAAAAGAGATAGCTGGAAGAATGGCGGTGGCCTCATCAAAAATGAGGAAGGGCAAGTTTAGTGGGAAAGATACTAAGTTCTGTTTTGGACATGTTGAGTTTGAGATGCCTGTGGATCATCAGGGTAGAAATGTCCGACATTGGAGCTCAAGAGATAGATGAGGGGTAGTTATGTAGATCTGGTATTCATCTGCCTGTAGTTGTTAGATGAATCCATGGGAGCTGATGAGAGGGGGTATGAGGGTGGAGACAGATAGGGGTAGAGAGATGGTTAGAGAAAGAGCGAGGGGAAGGAAGGAGAGAGAGAATAGGGTGAGCTAAGAAGAGGACAGAGCCCTAGGGGATAACTACATGTAGGGAGTGGGACATAGAAGATGATCCTGCAGAGGAGAGTGAGAAGGATAAATCAAACAAGTCAGAGGAAAACCTAAATACAACAGTGTCTAATGTCACACTGCCTCTCTATTGGAAAGTGCTTTCCAAATTCTAAAGCACTATAAAGGTGTCAGTTATTATTATAAAATATGACTAATATTTGTTGGGGAGGGGACAATGCAGAGCTCATGTTCCAGTAATGCTAAATTACTAGCATCATTTTCATAGACAAAGAACAGTGCATTCAGTTTTGGTTTTAGACCAAAGCTGTCACATGCCAACTTTTTTGAATCCTGTCATTGCTGATATTCAAGGAAATGGATGAAATACTGATGCATTTTCCATTACTTTGCATTTTCCATTAGCACCTTTACTAGCAACTTGATGGTGTTCTTTACTGAAAATTTACATCCTGTCCTTGGGTTATTAATACACAAACACTTGGCATTCTTCTTTATTTGGCATCTTACCATTTCCCCTTATGATTTAAAACACTGTTAGTTATCTTTTGGTTTAATTCTGTTACACAATGAAAAATCCCTTTGTCTGGGAGTTGAGTAGATGAGTATAATTATGCCTGTTTTTTTTTTAATCATGAGATGAAGGCCTAGAAAAATCTATCAAACAGCATAAGTGATTGGTAATTTAGAGTGTCAGGGATAGTGCTCTTTACCTACAATCCACAGCTATTTCTACAAATAGAAACAATAGATGAGAACAGAAGATCCTTGAGGGTAGAGCCTGCTTTATTTTTATCTTTATATCCTTGGCACTTGGTCCAGTGCTTGGCTTTTATTAGGCACTTAGTAAATGCTTGTCAAATAAATGAATGGTTTGGTATGCCAACTTTCCTAAAGTACAGATCCTATCATGTTACTCTGCTTCTCAATAAACTCCACTGGCCCCTTTTTACTCCTGGTCTCAAATACATACTGTGTTTGGTAGCTCCTCACAACCTTGTCCCTTCTTATCTTTCCAGTCTTGTTACATCTGACTTCGCTCCACACTATGAGCCATACTGACTCATTTGCTAGTTCTCACACAATTTCCTTTCTGCCCCTTATGCCTCAAATGCTTTCTCTCTTCCCCTCAATATCTAAAATTCCCTGATTTCCTTTTAGATTCAATTTAAGCACTATCTTCTGCAAGAGGGCTTCCCTTCTAAGTTTATCTTGTATCTAATATACAAATATATATGTGTGTATATATATAAAATATACATGTATTGTGTACACAAACACATATTTATGTATACAGTTATACCGTTTGTATATACACATATGTCATATGTGTGTGTTATTTATACTAGTATGTAAATTCCTTGAAGTCAGAAACTAATTTTGCTTTCTATTGTCTACCAAGTGCGTAGCACAGTGAATGGCCCAAAGTAAGTGCTTAAAATGCTTGTTGAGTGATTATTTTCTAAGCTAAGAATCTTTCCCCCTAAATCTACTCTTCCTGAGCTCATTAATTCTCTAAATAGCACCACCATACACTTTCTCTTATAACCTTAGATCTAATTTTTCTTGAAAGGCAGTGTAATACAATGGGAAGAGCCCTGAATTTGGAGTCAGAGACTTGGATTCAAATCCTAGCTCTGATATTCATTTGGTGAAATAGACTGTGTTCAAGTCATTGAAAATTCCTGAACCTGTTTCCTCATCTATAAAATGGAAATAATAATAATGTAATACATGCATTAAGGAGGTGTTGAAAGGAACAAAGCTCTTTGAAAACATTAAAGGCAATAGTCATTGTTTCAGTTATTATTGTTATTTCAATTTTCATTTTATTCAAAGGAGTTCAGCTAGGAGTACTTTTGGGCAAAAGTACTATCCAGATACTCTTTTGTGTTTAAGGTTCTATGGATTATTGTATAGGTGAATAAAATGACTTTATTATCATTAAATACATTTTGGGATTTAAGATCATTTTGTATAATTTACTCATTGAACAGACCTTTGGGACAACTTTAGGAGGAGATAATTTAGTCTACCACAAATGCTGCCCTTTCCTGCCTCCATGCTTTGTTGAGACTATTCTCTAAACCTGGAGTGCCCTTTTCCCACTTTTTTCCACCTATTGAACCTCTCCCTATCCTTCTAATGATCAATCAGAATTCCAAAGGATCAATGTTGAAGAATGCTACCCACCTCCTGATAGAGAGGTAATGGACTCAAGATTCAGAATGAGACATGGCCAATGTGGAAATTTGTTTTGCTTGACTATGAATACTTTTTATATAAGGGTTTTTCTTTTCTTTTTTCTTTTCCCAGCAGGCAAGGCACAAGAGAGAGAAAAAATAAATGCTTGCTAGTAGAAAAAAATTAGCTAAAATGTCAACTGAAATGCTATTTCTTCCTGGATGTTTTCCCTAATCCCAGTCATTTATTGCCCTTTCCATTTAGATTTCACATAGTACTTGGTTTAGTAATTTTCTAATGAGTTTATCTTATAAGGTATGTTATAACTGTATTGGTGCCTTTGTACCTCCCCACTAGAATGTAAGTTCTTTGAAAGCAGGAAATATGTCTTGTCAAATCTTTGAATTTCCCTGTGCTTAGCATGGTGCTCTGCACAAGGAGTTACTTAATATATTATTGTTATGCTAGATGATATTCTCTTCTAGTAGTATTATTTTGTTAGTGTTGAATGTAATTGGCAATTAATTGTCTTGCCCATGCCTGCACATCAATATTCACATGCTCTGTTTGAAATCATTGTAAGCCTAACCTTATGAAAATATTTGTGTCTCCTCTTAGCCTTCTTACACCGAATTTGATATCAGCGGCAATGTCCTAGCACTGATCTTCAATCAAGGCATGATCTGGTAGGCAAAGTGTATGATGGTCTAGGATTGGAAGGAAAATTTAAAAGGACACATGTCCTCATGTAATAGCATGACCTGATATCAAAGGATACAATCTGGGAAACAATCTGACAGATCTCTGCACTGATTACAAAATGTCTGTGGTTCATTCACCTTTGAAACCTTGACCCTCAAAGGCCATGTAGCATCTGTTCTCTACAGCTATCTTTCTCTAGATGTTTCCCTGAGGATGGATGAAGAGCCTCTCCATGAGTCTGCTTGGCAGGACTTTTTTGAAATATTTTTCAACATTTATGAAACCAAGAACTATATAAGGAATTTTACCTGATCTCAATACTGCCACATATATATTAAGTATGAAGGTTGTTAAAATATTTAAGTAATATTTCACAATCTGATTTTATTACAAGTAATTTTTTTGTCCTGACCTCTGATTTCATAAGTAAAAGGAACTCTCTGTGTGGAAACTTCTTTAACCAAAACAACTGGCAATTCCTCTGTAACAGTCTTAGTTGCTTTGAGCAAGATAAAGTGAGCTGCCCATAGTGAAGAGATGAAGTGACTTTCCCATTATCATACATATATAATAACGAATATGTATTAGAAGCAAGACTTGAATTCACATCTTCATGGCTCAAAGATCAACTTGCTATTCACCTTGTCACACTGCTTCTCGTGTAATTTTTACAAGTATTTAAATAACAATGCTTTCCATAATAGCAATAGCTAACATTTATATAGAACTTACTATATGCTGCTAAGCATTTTACAATTATTATGTTATTTGATCCTCGTAACGTCCCTGGAAGGGAGGTGCTATTATCATCCCCATTTTACATATAAGGAAACCGAGGCAATCAAAAATTAAGTGATTTGCCCAGGGTCACATAGCTATTAAGTCTCGGAAGCTAGATTGGAACTCAAGTCTTCCTGACTCCAGACCCTGCCCTCTATCTGCTTAGCTGTACCCAAGTTCCCAATTGCTACACAAATCCCTAGTTGATCTAAAGATGTTGAGTTTTAGACTTAGATTCAGGAGACAAAGGTTCTAGTCCTACTTTTGCAAGTTACTAGTTGTGCTTTGGACTCCTCATTTATTAAATGAAGGGCTTAAACTGGAAGATATCTAATTTCTCTCTTGGTTCCAACAGTCGATGAGTCAGTTTCAGTTGCATCATGGAGCATGCTTTTTGTCAGAGGTTCAGTGAAATGCTGGATGTTTAATTTTGAACCAGTTTTACATGGAAACATTCATATCAGAATGGGTTCAAATGGTTAGTTCACATACCATGTTGATACACCTTGTCAAATGAAAACAAAGTTTCATAGATGGAGAGCTGGAAGGGAGCCCAGAAGACACCTCATCCAATCTCTTCATTTTATAGTCAGAGAAACTGAAGTCCAGAGACTTTAAGTGGCTTGGCCAAGGTTATACAATTTGTAAGTGTGAGAGGAAGGATTTGAACCTAGGTCCTTTGACCTAAACTCTATATTCTTTTTACTAACTCTCTTCATAAACCTTTAGTAAATTGGCAATGAATTTCTACAATGGAAATCAATTTTTATAGTAGAAACATCTTTAAACAATGGAATCAAATGATGTACTTCATCTGGTTGTCTAGAGTAGTCATTTTTAAAAGCATTACAAATGGTTATGGTTGATCCATTTTATACTGTTATCATACCATACATGTCCAACAAAATATCATTCTACTAAATGATTATTCAGCACTTTATGAAGTGTACTGATAATCAACTGTAAACACTTTTGGAAGATCCGTCATCTATTGCTTAAATATTTAAATCATTTATTGTCTGAATAATTGAATCACTGTGTACTGTCAGATTGGTTTCTTCTGTTAAATTTTAAAATCATCTTGCTATAGTAATATGAGGAGAAAAGAATATGCCAACAAGTACACTGTGCTCTTATTTCTGTTTTCAAAATCCCTTGCACCAACAGATGATGTAGCCTTAAGAAAAGGCTATGAGCTTCTGCTCATTTTCTTCATTTATATTTTAAAGGAAAATGCATTTTTTGAATGTCAGCTTTCTAAATTGTTAGAAGTAGCAGTTTATTCAATTTGAAGTGTTATCAAAAGTGGCATGCAAATTCCACATCATGATTGCTTCCCTGATAGAAAGAGGAAACCAAGAATCTACTTGGAATTGTTTAAGGAGTGACTAACTGCCAAAGGGAGGGGAGGGAATAACCACTAAGTATTCTGGATATCTCAGTCCTTTGCTGGCTTTCTACTATCTGTGATGATGGACTGGTATTCAATGCTAGTCAGGTAATTAAAAAAAAAAACTACCCAGTAATGCAAAAAAAATTTTTAAACGTCCAGATCTCGTAGAAAGTCCAACTCAATTCACAAGGCTGACTTAGTACCATTTGTATAGCCATATGCTACATGTCCACAGGCTATATTCTGAGTTAAGACAGCAGATTGGCCTAGAGTAGAAATCAGCTTTTGTTGTCTGGAAAGCTGTCAAAGTAGCTGCCTGTCTTGATTGGTAGTATGTTCTGTCTCTGGACTAATTAACCCAAACTTCTTTACAATGAAACCACAGCCAGGTCTCCTTCCCAAAGTCATGCACCATCCCCCAATTCTCTCACAAATATGCATGATATTCTTGGATAATTCCCTTTTGGATAACAGGTGGGGATTCTTCTAAAGAAAGATAGACAATGAATATGAGTAGTGCTTTGAAAAGCAGCTGTACTGCCTTTTAGAGAGTGTGCGTGCATTTATGTCCTAGAGATCTAAAAGCAAAATGGTTTGTTGCTTTCAGACTTAGCCAAATCCTTTGCTCAGATCCTTTTTTCCTAACTCCCAGGAAGTCTGGGCGGGGGGGTGGTTTGAGTATATAAACACAGGAAAGCTAACCTTTCTAGCAGATATTCAGATAGACCCACACAGTAGTGCTGATGATTTCTGAGGCAGAAAGGGCAGAGGACAGGTTTTGGCAGTGTTCCAAAGGAAGAGACAAAAGACTCTAGGGATTTTGTTTTCAGTTCAGTTTGTGAGGGGAAAGATTCAGTTACTGATGTCAGAGGTGATGAGTTGGTTGAATACTTAATGCTATTGAAATAGCATTTATGAGAACAGTCCATTATTACATTGTGATGATAGAGATGAAATGATTAGCAAGCCTTTATGCTATACATTTGCAATCAGAAAGGACTTTCCAGTTAGTTTGATTGGTTATTTCACTAAAGTTATACATCTCTATTAAGTTGATTAGCACTGAAGCATAGAGCTTTGAGAGACAGAAGATTTAGATTCTACTCATGACTTCGTCATTGACTCTGTGACTGTCATTTATTCATTTAACCTTTTGTACATTAGCTTTCCGGCTATTGAGTGGTGATAATTTACCTACCCCTCCATACCTCATGGAAATGATGAAAATAAATAAATAAAATGATCCATACTTTGAGCTTTTTGGAAGAAAGGTGTTATGAAGTCAAAGTATTATATTTATTACTTCAGTAAATAAATGAGGATACCAAAGTAGTAGTATTTGATTCCCTTGTGTTGGGAGTAGTCCACTAGCCTATGATTCCTTAATTGTTGATTAATGAGTAATAAATGCTGGGTTTTTATTTTCCATCTTTTCTCCCTCACCAGTTTCTCTCTCTATTCCTTCCTCCTTTGCTTTCTCCTTTCCTCCTTTCCTCCCTTTTCTTCCTCCTCTCCCTCCTTCCTTTTATCCTTCTTTCCTTCCCTCTTTTCCTCCCTCTCTCCTTTCTCCCTTCCTTCCTTTCTTCTCTCTCTCCCTCTATTCTCTATCTCTTTCTTCCTTCTTCTTTCCCTTCCTTTGTCTCATCTTCTCTTTTTTCTTTCCAACATTTCTTCTTTTATCCCCCCAGATTAAAGTTATGAATATAATAGAAACACTACCCATTGTATTATATTATAGGTTTTGATAACTTATAAAATTATCCTCTGCCTCCTAAACCTGAGCCTTCAACTTAGACTTTACTTTTGAGAGTGTTCACTTTATGACTTCATGTAATTAACAAAAGCATACTGTTTTTAGCAATTATTTAAAGAACTAACCTCCCTTTGTTCTAGACAAATTCAGAACTTTTAAAAGGTAAATTTGTTGGGGAAAAATCAGTCTGATCAGTTATTTGGAAGAATGTCAATAAATAAACCCAACTATTGCCATTAAAAAAAAAACTTGGGTGTGTTGGTATTATTTAGGTATAAGCTCAGTCAAAACATAAATAACTCCTATACCTATTTTAGGTGATAATCCAAATAATGGTCTAAAGTCCTTTACGAAGTTTGGGGTGGGTGAAACATGCAAAGAATAAAATATTATGTATAAATGTGAGCTACCTGTATTATCATTATTGTTAGCAGCATAATAGCAGCATTATTGCTATTATTCCTGGTGGGTTTTTTTAATGGTCATTTCTTCCTTATCCTCCTCCAAAAGGACCCAACTTTCATTTCATATAAGAGTAGTAATAAAATAGCCATGAAGATTCCTTTGTGGTTTTGAAGGTTTTCCCTAATAAAATCATTGAAACCTATTTTGCTAAACCTATTAACTATGTCACCAGGTGAAATTGACCTGTTGTAACTTATTCTTGTTGGAAGAGTTGTTCAAAAATAGTTTTTTGAAGTCTACATATAAAATGAATGAGATTCTCCATAGAGGAGAAAGAAGTAAAAAAACTTCCTTTTAGGACTAACTGATTTCAGAGGTCCCTTCTACCTCTAACATTCTGTGATCTGTGATCTATGAGGGAAAAGTTAAGATCTATTTTAGAGTCATAAAGAAGAAAGAAAAAACCCACTAATGATTATATGGAATGTAGGTTAATCATTTTGATTATAAAATCCTTTCCTGACAGCATATACAAAGATATTTGGGAGGAAACATTTACTCGAACCATAGAATAAGATAGACCATATTTGGGTGGAGCCATTATAATATGTAGAGAAAAGATAGACAAGGTCAGCTGGTAAATTTATTTTAAAAAAAGATTGAAAATGGGCATGCAATTTTCACCTTTCCCAACAGGAGGGTGATATAAAATGGTCTTGTGGCTTTAATATGGGAATCAGACTCCAAAACTGAGCCATGTTTTTGTTTGTTTGTTTCTAGGATGGGATCATTTTATGCTCCTTGCCTTCCAGCTATAAACATACTCCGTCTGCATACATCCATGTACTTTCAGTGCTGGGCTGTGATGTGTTGCAATGTTCCTGAAGCCAGGGTCTTCAAAGCCTCCAAGTCTAATAATTTTTATTTAGCTATGCTTCTGCTCATCCTCTTCTTGTCTACAATGCCAGTGCTGTATATGATTGTCTCCTTCCCACCATCTTTTGACTGTGGCCCATTCAGGTACCTTACTTTTGAAACTCTGTTTTTAACTTACTGTAAAATAAGATTATTGTACATTTACAAGCCATAATGCTATTTCCCCCTCCTACAGAGGCAAAATTGTTTAGAAGGGACTCAATAAAATCCAGGGGCAGTGAGTTCTACTGCCAGGTCTATGTGTGGGCTCACTGAGGGAGCCATACCTAACAAATTCCTCAACTACTCCCTGTCTAAATCTCTCCCTGAGAGAAATGTGAATAGTGGAGCAGAGACATTTCCAATTCAAAGGGTAACGGAGGCAATTAATGGCATTATAAAGTCTGGGTTATCTTCTTAGGGCTCATTACCCAAATTCCCATGCCACTGGGCAGATTCTTCAGGGTCAGCAGGCTAGGCACTCCTTCCTTGCATCCCAGAAGTACAGAAAGTGCAGGTTATCCCAGAGGTCACCCAATAAAAGCTTCATTATCCTTTAGGTTGGTACAGCTCTGGTTGTGAGAGATAATGAACAAAAAGCAGGACCGTACATTTGTGAACAGAAGCAGAAAGTACAAAAAGGAGAGAGAGAAATTGCATAATCTTAATTCAATTGGCAAGCAATTAATTGTCTCCAGGCATGCTTCTAGTTGCTGAAAATACAAAGACAAAAATGAAATAGTTCCTGCCCAGAAGGAGCTTATATTCTATCATAGGATATGGATATAAATAGATATATAGATAGATAGATGGATAGATAGATGGATATAGATAATAGATAGATATATGAGAGAAATACACACAAACAAATATGAGAGAGAGAGAGAGAGAGAGAGAGAATGAGAACTGCTGGTGAGGAAGGAGGAGAGGGGAAGAGGGCATTAGGAGCTAGAGATATGAGGAAAGTGGTGCTTCAGTTGAATCTTTAAGGAAAATAGACATTCTAAGAGGTTGAGGTAAGGAATACATTCAGACATGGGGGACAGCCATTGTGAAGGCATGAGGTTGGAGACTTCTACAGTTGTTGGGGATATTATTGAACTCACATTTAGGGCTTTACATTTACCTATATTAAATTCATATTCTTAGATTTGGCTCTTCACTCTCTCACACCTGAGAGAGGTGGGGAGAATGACACTGATTTTCCCACACGCTCCCCAGGTGCCAATAGTAAACTTCTGATGGCAGTAATCAGAAAAAGGCATATATAAGAGTTCCTGCCCAATTTGCAGATTGCTTATTATATTGTCCTCTCTATAACACAGTTTAAATAATAATTTATATTTTGGGCAGGGCCAGTTAATTCCCTAAAACTCTGTTAGGAGGGAGGGATACCACAAATCAAAGTCTCTGAGTAATGAGAAAGTTAGTCACCAATTAGCATGCACTTGATGGGTTATTCCTTGCCAGTGAATTGGGGTCATCAAATGAACCCTATGGGACAAACATGATTGTAGTAGTGTTTGCATCATTTCTTTCCATGGTGTCATAATGATTCAAATCTGCAAACTGAAACTAATAACTTAAATAAATGTAAAATATCTCGCCTCTCATGAGTAACCCAACTTGTTGAGTATCTGTGGACTCGTCATCCCCAAGCAAGCGATGCTGAGTAATGAGTTCCATCTCTCAAGTGGGCTGTCATAAATGATACAGAGAGTGACATCTGGAGGCTGAAGATGAAAGTGCAGCCTTAGACCATAGAACGGTCTTAAGTAGGTAGCTCTAGGATTTTGTAACCCTCTCAATGCAATAGCTTTTTAAAAAAAGCTCCATTTCTCTTAGGGAACCCAAGTGACTTTTTCCATATGATAAGGTTCCCTGGGAATGAAAAGATCCCAGGTTTTAGAGTCAGAGTTCAAGGGTTCATTCTGTCAGTCACTAGCTGTGTGCTATTTGATATGTTACTTCAGTTCCTTGGCCCACAGTTTCCTCATTTGCTTCAGAAGGTTATTAAAAAGATAAAAGGAGACTGTATGTAAAATTTTTTCTAAACAATTATATAATGATCAGATAGTTGTACCTAAAATCTCAACTTATTTTAACAATTGAAAGGTTCCCCTTAAACACCCTAGAAAAGGATCTTAGCTATCAACTTGGTATGCAGTATGCATGCTACAACAACTTTGGAGTCAAAGTACACAATTGATAATAGTTATGACTAGCACTTCTGTAGCAATTTAAGGTTTGCAAAGCCCTTAACAAATATTACTTCATTTCATCCTAACAAAAACCCTGGGAGGTAGGTGCTATTACTATCTCCATTTTACAGATGAGAAAAAAAAGAGGCAGGCAAAGATCATGCAGTTAGTAAGTGAGTGAGTGAGGCCCCATTTGAATTTACATCTTCTGGATTCCAGGTCTCTGGCTTTATGTGCTATGTCACCTAGCTGCCAAGGCTCACTCTTGAGCTATGTCACAGGGAGTCACTTTGCTTTTCTGAATCTCAATTTTCTCATCAGTAAAATAAATAGTTTTACCTACCTTAAACTGATATTGTGAGATTCAAGCACAATAACTTAGGTCAAATGTTTTGTCAACAATAAAACTCTATAAATATGTAAATGATCAGTTCTTTAATATGTCAAAGATTCATTTTATTGGTGTGGGAAAACTCTGTGCCCAACATAGATTCTGGCCCTCGAATAACTTAGTAAATGGTCTTTGAGAATTGTCATGGCTGAAAAATTAATCATCCTTCAAGCAACCTGGTAATGATCTCTCTAAATTTTGCCCAGCAGGGCTTTAATTAACACACATGTGGTCCATCGTTGGGCCCACCCTTGACATATTTCCATCATGGTAGTACTGAGAAGAGGTTATACTCTTCTGGAACAGCCTTTGAAGACTAAAGATCTCCTCCATGGCACAGTGAGGTATAGAAGTCATCCTTAAATGGAAAGATCATGGTTTTCATCATAATAATTATTCATTCAATCTCAGGACCCCTATACTGAAGTATTCTCATATACATATTACCCTCTCTAATTTTCAATTTAAAGTTTAAAAAGTACTTTACATATATTCTCTATTTTGATTCTGACAGCAACCCTGTGAAATGTCTACTTGTTATAAACAAACAAAACCTTCACTTAATCATACTTTGCCCTCAGTCTACCATATTATATTTCTTCTGTTTAAAGCCAAATTCCTTGAAAAAAGAAGTCTATGCTCCTCATTTTCATTTTCTCACCTCAGATTTATGTCTTAATGCCTTACAATCTGGCTTCTATCTTCATGACTCAAGCTATTCTCTCCAAGGTGACCAAATGTCAAATCTGATAGATAGCCTTTTATCAGCTCTTGGTCTTCTTGATATCTAAGTAGCATTGACTACCCCCGCCTTCTAGACCTTCTTTCCTTCTTGCGTTTTCATTACATTGCTCTTTTCTTCTACTCCTTTGATTTGTTTGGGTAACCACCTATTTGTGGACATATACCATGATTTTGTCTGGGATTCCTATTCTCCAATCACTCACTTGCTGATGTCATGGGCTCTTATGGATCTACATAGGATCTCAATGCACAACTCCTAAATCAGTATATCCATACTCAGTTTCTCTCCTGAGCTTTCTTTCTTTCTTTCTTTTACTTTCTTTCTCTTCCTCCCTTTCTTCCTTCCTTCCTTCCTTCCTTCTTTCCTTCCTTCCTTCCTTCCTTCTTTCTTTCTTTCTTTCTTTCTTTCTTTCTTTCTTTCTTTCTTT